TCAATATGAACACAGAGGGAGAGGCAGATTTGTATATTTGTTCTTTAGCTGAGCACTTGCTGGGAGGAAATGCAAACATCTCTCTCCATGTTGGCATTTTTAAATGCACTAACCAGCAATGGGAATCTTTCCCTCCAGTGTGTACATACTGGGAATGCAGAGGAATCAATGTTTGTTAAGTGTGTAAACTTAATGTATGGATTTTGTGACTATGACATGTTCACAGTAAAAACATTTGAAGGCAAGATACTTTTCAAAATCCCGAGAAATTAAAATTAAATGAATGACACATATTTTATTTTGCCAAGGACTATAATTTTCCATTAAAAAAATAAATATATTCTTAGCCTGTCAGTCAGTAACTTTTCTGCAACACCTGATGTATTTTAGTTAATACTACATTATTCCTGGTGTTCTGACATGCATAATTGTTACCAAAGGGATTCGCTAATACTGTATTCAGAATTGATGACTGATTTACATAGCCTTAAACTGAAGGACCAAGAATCAGAATGTTTTTATTTACTCCCTCCTCCCCAGTCTCTCCAGTGAGGGATTATAAATGGGGTTTTTTCTTTGATACAATACAGTTCAGCGTTATGAAAACATAGCTCACAATAATATAGACTTTAGTGTAAGGTGGTCCTGTGGACTTCATTCAGGAAGTATTAGAGTCTAGAAATATCTGAAGAGTTTGGTTATAAGTGAGTGCCCCTTGACAAAGGGCTTTAAGAGGATGGCTGTAGTTCAGTATTGTTCAATGGTTGCTTTCTGTTGCCTTTTAATGGATTCTAAGAATGTTGTTATAGCTCTTCTCTAGTCTGTTTGGCTACCTTTCTGGTTTAGGTGGTTTCCCATTTCTGTACACATCTCAGTTTCATGTTTATATGCTTGAAGAAGAAACCAGAAACTGATGCATTTCTGTGTCTCACATCTTGCTTTTCATTAATGCCCAAGTGATATGACAATGCCTTGTGGGTTATAACCAGAAGAAGTGTGTGTTGCATTTGTATTCTGAGTTTGTTCTCTTGTGTGAGCAAAACTGATGGTTTAAGGATGATAGAAAGGGCGTATATGTAAAGACATAAAATGAGTTTTCAAGCTTTATATAAAATACAAAGCATTATGGTATTGAAATCATTATATAAGTAACAGAAGTTAAAAATATATATAAGGGCAAACAAGCAGTGTTTTTCTCTCTTAAACATTATCACAAATAACTGGTTTAACTAGTTCCTCCCCCACTGTATTGATCAGTTGCTCTGGCCTTGTGCAGAAGCTATGGAGTGCTCTCGTGAACCTGCTACTTATTTTTTTAAAACCCTTGGCTTTAGAATGACTGCATCTAATGGCAGGGGGCCTCAGCCTCTGTTCCTGAAGGCTCTTTTCCTTCCACTCCCTCGCAGAGAGAAGCATGATTACTTTCTCCCTGCCCTTCTGATTATAGGAAAAATTGGGTGCACCGTAGCTTAGTGCCAGCACACCTGAATTCAGGGGGCAGCTCCCCAGACAATTGCTGTGTTGCTCCTTAGTGTTCTGGGCCTGGGGTTCAGTGAGAGCCAAAGGGTAATGAATTCCTTGAGGTGGTGAGAAGAGCTACAGTCCAAGAGGATTAACAGCACAAAACCCTGCTTCTAAAAGGGAAAAAAATGGGAAAAGCAGGGGAGGAGGAACATCCACATTGACACACAGAGAACCCCCCAGTGAGGTTTTGCATGTCAGCAAAGCCACATTCCCGTTTCTGTTGTCAAAACCGAAGCTACTTGGACAAGAACACTTATGTGTTGTACATGACAAGGGTAGTCTTTAAAAGGCTTGGTAGCATTCTTTCTCAGCAGAAGGGGACTGATTGGTCAAATCCTCTGCTTTGCCATAGAATTACATCTGGTCTCTATCAAGTACCTCTTGTCAAGACATAGAAACATTTGAAAATACCTTGATTTCAGATTTCTCAACCTAGGGGAGCAGAGAAGGAGGGAAGAAAAAGTCCATATGATTTGTTAGCCACATCTGAGAAGGGTTGTGCGGATGGAAATGTGGCCCCATTTAAACTTCCCTAAAGCATCATGATCGCTGCATTGAAATTTGGGACTGATTGCACAACTCTAACGGAGGCCCCTGGTATGTGTTTGATGCATATATTTGGTGAAACATAAAAGCAGTGTCATTCCTGTCCACTAATCAAGGGCCAGAACCAGCCCCCACACATCTGCCTAGCTGTTCCTTACTGCTGTTATGGAAATAAACCTCTCCTTTTTCAAAAGCAGTCACTACCCCTGAAGGGGAGAATGATTGCTGTGGATGAGGTCCCCAGATCTTCTCACCCACCATGAACCCTCTGCCACCCCTCCCCCAAAAGCTGAGATACCCCAAATGTTCAAACTAAATCTAAGCACCCTCTGTCTTCCCACATCCCCTTTTTCACAAAGAACTCTTAGTTTATCTCTTAAAAAATAATTCAGGTGTTTGCCACTCAGAGACATTGTTCTTGAGAAGTAAATAGATAATTCTCCCTAGAGCAGTGACTTTTACAAGTACAATGTTGTCCTGGAAAACAGATATACACCATGCTGTCATAGGAAACTACAGCTTTTAAGATCTTCGTGACTGATCTCTGGTCCTCTTTTTAGAGAGAAGAGAACATTCCACAAATATCAAAGTGGGCCTCTGCTAAAATGGCCCGTCCACCCTTTGCATGGCTGAATCCATTGGAAAATTACCTTCTCGATGTCAGTGAAGGATTATTGAAGTTAAACATTTGCTGAGTGAGTTTGTTTTTAAGAGGAGTCACTTCAGGAAAGCATGTTGAAACAAACCTAAGCTTAGATAATCATGAGTAATTATTTGCCTATGTCCATAATTTTAACAATGCGAATCATTAGCTCAGACCCTCTCTTTTATCCCAAAGAGGAAAAGTCCATGAATGAATGTTAGTGAAGGCTCTTTGTTCTTAGTAGAAAAGGATGTTGATGTTCCTCACCTCCATGCAATGAGATGACTTTAGCATAGCCTCATGGCCATGGAAACGGAGCCGGTCTTGTGCAGTGTCACTGACCAGCTCCAGAGAGAGTCCTCTGGCCTTCGTGCTCACCTGCTCGGTTTCATGCCTCCGAAGTCCTCACCAATGTGGGAGGCTAGTTATTGCCAAGGATTCTTGTTCATGTCCTTTCTTTCTATTTTGAGGGGTAGTTTGTAGAAAATGCAAATAGCTTTAACTACCTGTAGATGTATTTAAACTTGCTTTCAGGGATACATGAGAAAATGCTTTTCAATTTAAGAGAAAATAGCCATGAGTTTGTTACTTATTGCTGTGACTGAACAAAAGAGATTTTAGCAACAAAGACAGTACCTTTGACATCCTGCCAGAGTTGTGTTTTGTAGCTAAACATGACATTCAGGAAATGTCAACTATCAATGACTTTTTAAAAATTGTAGTCAAGTATGGTTGGCTACACGTGCAATCCCTGACTTACAAGAACTTGACAAACAAGTTTCCAGGAGACATGAAAGGCTGCCCTTCCTCCATCTCTCCGTTTCCAGAATCCCTTTTATTTCTCCTCTTTGCCCTTCTGCCCCCCTGCGTCTGTCCCCCTCAAGGCCAGAGCCTCTTCAGCACTGCTATGGAAACTGCCTGTGTAAAACTTGGCTCTTCTGTGGTTTCCAAAGTGGAAGAGGAAGCTGCATATGACAGGCACAGTGGGGCTGGACCCCAGAGGTTGCTTCTGGGCGGGACCAGGTGAACTCCTCGGTGTTTTCTCTAAGGTGGCTTGATTCCCTTTAGCTTTACTTACCTTTACTCATCTGGACTTACAAGTATCCTTCTTTTAAAGATCTGGATATCTGTGAGTGAGTTGAGGAAAGCAACCTTAGTTATGTGAATTGGGTCGAGCTATAGTGACCACACATACAAACACACAACCCTTGTGTATGTTTAGTGTTTTGTATCCCACTGTTTACAAAAGGCTTCCACACACACACACATGCACACACACACACACACACACACACACACACACATTTGTTCCTCACAGCTGCTTTACAATTGTGGAAGACGGGAATCAGACGACTTGAAATATTGGAGCTGCTGGAAGCAGCACTAGAAGTTGCAGATTTAAAACTAGGATTGAGTTTTCTTTCCATTCCATTTTCCATTGTGTATGTCAATACTTTTATACATGTATGTGTTTTCCTATATACACACACATGCTAACTAACATCTTTTCCTTTATAAATAGTGAAGCAAACATGTTTGCAGATGATTAGCAAGCAATAGACTTCAGAGCATCTCAAGCCATCTCTGACCTTGATATTCTGCTATTTTACAAGATCCTTATATCAGGAAGGTAAAAATTAGATGACTGGAGCTTATTTCATGAGCTTTAGAGATTGAGAGTGCTCTGTGTATCTATAAAACACACTTAAAAAACTGAATGTTAAGATGGCATAACTTGACTAAGAAATATCTAGTAATTGTTAATTAAATAATTAATAGAATTCATGAATTATATTTCTGTTTATAGGCCTAATCCCAACTCTCTCTCTCTCTATATATATAGTATATATGCATCTGTGATTTGAGGTACTTATAGTCAGTCAGTCTCCTCTTGGTAAATGAGTACAAAATGTATTTGAATTCCTTAGCAGAAAGCCAGGTTCATTAGATATTTTCATATTATAACCTTTCCAGTCAAGACCTAAGTAATGCAATTCTGAAACTGAAAATAAGATGTGCATAAAAGCACATTATGCAGGCCTATTTATAGTAATAATAATGATCACTCTAAACAGATTGTCTCACTGGCAATGAACATACAATGCGAACATCATAAGAGATGAACTCTTGCCATTTTCTGAGAGAGAAAATTCTCACATTTTACATAAAGCCAGAAGTAAAAATGGTTCCAAGAAAAAACATGTTTTAGGAATTATAAGTGTTTAGCTTCAAAGGAGGGAAAAAAATTGGGTTATCACAAACATTGCTTTTTTTCCTCCCAAAATATAGAAACAGTTTCCCTTCTTTGACTCCATGATGTCATACTCAGAATAAGAAATGGTGAAGAAAACGGAACTATGTAAGTGAATGGCAAACCTGTTATCAATTAGATTTAATAGGAAAATCCAAGAACAGTGTGGTAAATATCTAACAAAGCCTTAAAGATCATGGAATTATTTGTCAGGATCTTGATTTATGATGAAAACTGTATAAAGTTCTACCTGAATATTTTCTTGACAACCGTAACATCATCCTGCAGCATTCTTCACAGATACCGAATTTCGTTTCATTCACTTTTCTTTTACCACCAGGTTTTCGTAGGCCTGTGTTTAGCCCTCCAGTCTGCCTCACTGTTTCTGATGGTCATTCCAGTGGCAGTATCTATAGAATTACGCTTTGGGCCCTGCTGCAGTCTTTAGCCATGTTGGCTAAGTGAGGCCTCTGAGAAATGAAGCCAAGCACACAGTGTCACGAAAAGACTTCTCCCTGCCTGAACAGGACAGAAACGTGCAGCCTCTAATTCTCAGCTCACCCTTTCACTTTCTTTGGAAACCGGTAGGCAGATACAGAGACCAGTAATGTCTGCCTTTCGAAAAACCTGAGAAGGGGGAAAAGCCACTGTGTAACGGATGTGATTTTTTTTTTATTAAATACCTGTTGTCTTAGTTTAAATCAGATTTGAAAAACCAACCCACACCAAATTACATTTTCCATATTTTAATACACCTTGGCTAAATTTTAAATCACAGGTTGTATTTTATATAGTGAAAGTAGGGAAACTTTATTCCTGTTTCTCACAGAACGACAAGTACAGCGACTTGGTTTACATCTATTTACATTCAAGTAGACCATCGTAACAATAACCATGAACTAGCACTGGTTTTAAAGTCTTTGTAGTTGATTTTAGAGCACCCGTGTATGTAGTGGAGCCATGCCTGTCTCAGAGTGCATTGCACACGCCTTTGATATGACAGGGCTGATCGATCTGACTTCATGGCTGAAGGCTCCCAGGCACACAGAGCCTGGGAGAGACCTGCTTACCCACTGAGACAAGGAAACTGCCTTGATGTCAAGGAGCTAATGTTTTGTCGCTTGCCAAACATTCCTGCTACAGATTCATGTTCTAAAATTTTCATGAACCTCGTAGAGAAACAAATTGTGTGGTCTGGATTTAATATTATCTGCCTAAAGGGAAAGAAGTGAAGTTAGCCAGAAGGCCAGATGGCAGCTCTTTTTTTTGCAGAACTCTATTTGGAAAGTGAGTTATATGTAATTTTTGGTCATTTTTTACCATCTTAGGAGACCATTCTCAGAACGAGTCACTGAGGGATATAGCACACTTGTTTCAAAAAATGAACTGCACAGGCATAAGCACATCATGTACCCTGTCCACAGAACTATAGACATTTGGTGAAAATGCCTGCATTTCTTTTTCTTCTAGCATTGTTATGACCTACTCCTCTATCCTACCTTTCTCATCATTCAGCTGCCTAACTTAACCCAGAATTAAACTTCTTAGCTTACAATACCATCAAGTTCACATTTAGGGAAAATGTGACTGAAAATGTCATGAATTTATCACCAGTCTTCCTCTTGTGGTTGACTAAGTTGTCACTTAAATGCAGAAAACCAGCAATTGTCAACTGCATACACACAAATGTGATGTTTCCTCTTTTTTTGAGGCAGACTGCCATATCTAGATTGCATCTTCCCACAAACTTAGTAATTAATACCTTGGACTCTTGAAGATTTAGTCCATGTTCCATGTTTAAAAGTTTTATTTTGAGGTTATAGGGTGAGCCCCAGGCTGTTAAGTAGGAACAAAGAAACATCAGTTCACACTGGGGTTACTTATCATAGCAAATCAGGATGAAGAAAATTTCAAGAAATCAATTAAGGTTGTTCATTTTCCAAACAATGGGATCATCTCTAGGCATATTTGGTTTCTTCTCTTCCTCCATGCCTTACTGGTTACCAAGGCTGGATCACATTCCTTCTAATTGATTTTTACTTGCATTCTTTCTTCTCCATTATCACCTTTATCACGCTAGTCCTACTCCAACTAGAGCAAGTCAGATCCAGATAACTCTGCTAGATTTCAAAGTCCAGGGTAAACCTACCACTGTCTCACTTTTCTCTCTCATCCAATAACCAACTTTATTTCCTGCTACTCTACAGTATGTTGGAGCTGAAGTCAGTGTCTGATGAAAGGCAACCTCTATCCCATTTCTGTGATGTCTGTTCTCGGAACAAGACATTCCAAGATAGGTCTCACTTTTTCCTTTTGGCTTTGACTTGATAAATACCCATGCCTCTACCTTCTCCTTGCAGTTCAAATCAATAGTTTTTTCCTGAGCGTCTGACATTATACTGGAAGTCATCTTAACAGTGTATGTTGAGGAGTACAAGGCTGTGTGAAACAGGGTCCCTGCTATACTGCCTGAGTCTGTCTGGACTGCTCCAGACCTCTGAATACTTCTCTTCTGAGCTTCTGTGGTACTTAAAGTTTAGACCAATGGGCTACAGAGTCAAGTGCTCAAAGTAATCCAAAGGGATGCAGGAAGAAGATATCGAAACTTCTATTTACATTTTTTGTATCTTGGCAAACTTCTAATTCACAGTACTTTTTAAAGTATATTAGTAATATCTAGGCATGATAATGGGGTAACAATACCTACTGTGGCAAGCATCTAGTAATATATATATATAATTATCCAGTTACTGTGTTGTACATCTGAAATCAACATAATATTGTATATCAACTTTATGTCATAAAAAAGTACATACTATATTAGTATGAAGGTATATGTTAAACATATACAAATAAATACACATACATTTGCAAGCATTTTTACTAATAGAGTAAATGATCAAAAAATATACAGAGCCTCCAATTCAGAACAATTTCACTGGGGTTTTAAGGAGGTCAGCAGACTGACCCACCCAAATCCATTCATTAGCTCTTCAAAAATTATTTACTAATTCGATCCTAGTGTGCCAGAGAGCATTGAGAGATAGAGAAGTTACGCAAGAGGAGATCAAAATGTCAGCTTTATTTCTGATAAATACTCTCTGGAAAATGTGGCTTTAGATCGAGCCAGGATGGTTTGCTAATACTTCACCCCTGCAGTAAGCAGGCCCAGGAAAAGGTGAAATGGAGATTACAGCCCCATTTCTATCTCACTGTACGCAGCCAGGCGCCAGGCCCATATCCAAAGCTTTCTGAATGACCAAGAGCCAGTGAGAAGGTACCCTTTTTGCACCCTGGCAGAAGGATTTTAACAGAAGAGAGAAAGGAAAGGAGGGGAATGAGTGGGACATGCTCAGTTTATTCTGTCAGAGGCACCTATGACATAAACCACTCCTTCTTGGGGGAAGGAAATAAGGTAGCAGGTGGAGAAGGGTCAGTAGCGTTCCCATAATATG